GTGGGAGCCTCTGGAGCCTCTGGCCTTGCCCGGCCTGTGAGGGAGACAGGGATGGTCTGGACATGGATGAGGCCAGGATCCCCCCCTCCGCCAGGGTTCCTCTGTGATTTCAGCTCTGTGGCCAGTGGACCCACTGCGGTGCCCCCTGCCCTGCCTCCCCCTCCCACGAGCTTCGGGATCACTTCCATACGCCTAGGGTGGGCCAAGCTTGGGGGAGGGGTGATGAGAAATAGTCCCAGGCCAGTGTCTCAACAACTGAGATAAGGGGGTGTCCTGTCCTGTCCAGCGTGGCTCAGTGCCTGTCTCCACTCTGGTCCCGGCATCCATTCCTCTCTAGGCCAGCCGGTCTGGCTTGCCTGACTGCCAAGGTCCTTGGGTGTCAGCGGGGCGAGGGTCCCTGTCAGCCCCGGCAGAGGGAGTCCATCAGGAGAAGAGGCAGGAACTCAAGTTCACCGAAACGCCCCCGGCCGTGGCGCACCCCGGGAGAGCCTGGTTCCAGGGTGGGGCCGGCCCGGAGTCTGCTCTTCGGGCAGTCCGGCAGGTGCTGAGGCAGCGGGGCGCGGGCCCCACCTTGAGAACTGCTGAGTTTCTGGCCGGAGGAGTCTGTACAAGCACTGCTGGCCCCTCCTGGGGCTGGGCCGCGAGCAGACCGTTTTCCATCTTGGCTGCGGGTGACGCCTTCTTCGGTTGTGACGCGCTCTGGGATTTAGTGGCCTCCTGGCCCCTTTCCAGCAGCATCTGTGGTCTCGCCAGCGGTGTGGGCCGCGACCATCCACGTGGGGTTCAGGGCAAGCCGCCATCAGGGAACGTGGCGGCAGCTTCGGAGCCAGCAGGCCTGGGTTCGGGTCCTGCCGCTGCCCTGAGTCACGCGGCCACACCGGGTCAGGTGACCGCTGCCACCTCGGCCTCCTCGAGGTGTGGGAGTTAGCGGGTAATGCGTTGTCCTGCTCAGGGTTCCCGGAGCCGCAGAACCGGCGGGATGTGTCCGTGCCTCTCTCCATCGGCCTGTCTGGAGAGAGGGGATTATTGTGACGACCTGGCTCACACAGTTACGGAGCCTGAGAAGTCCAGAGACCTGCGTTCGGCAGGCTGTGGACCCAGGAGGGCCTCAGGTGCCAAGGCAGCCTGAGTCCCCGGGTCTGAGACCCAGGAGAGCCGACACCGTGAATTCCCGTCCAGGGAGAGCCCATGTTGCAGCCCAAGCCTGAGGGTGGGAAAAGGCCGCTTTCCAGCTCACAGTCAGGCAGCAGGTGTCCCTCTTAGCCAACCCTTTGGTTCTAGTCAGGCCTTCGCCTGATTGGATGAGGCCCACCCGCACCGGGCGGCGGTGGGGGGCGGCGGTGGGGGCCGGCAGTCTGCTTTACTCAGCCTGCAGATTCAGGTGCTGATCTCATCCAGAAGCACCTCACAGACTCACCCAGGATAATGTTAGCACCGGTGGCCCATCAAGGACATGCATGAAATTAACCTCCGCAGCATTCGAGTGTCCTGGGGCCACGTCCTCACCCGTGACCCGCTCCGTGACAGGGCCGCTGCCCTTCTGGTGTGCTTACCAGGCCACCCCCGAGTCAGAGCCTCAGGAGGAGACCCAGAGCAGGGCGTGGTGTGAGTGGGGATGGCCCCCGAGGGTAAGGACCGGCCCCGCTCCGCGTGGGTCCCACGGGTCTGCTCTGTGCGGCTGTGGAGGGGGCTCGCAGACGCAAGGGCGGGCAGGGACTGACGGCCACGCTGACACCTGCCGGCCACCATCCGCGGTTGATGGGAAGGCCCCGCAGGGAGCTGGGAGCCAGGAAGCTTAGCTGGGTCTGAGCGAGGCCGTTTATTTCTTGATGTTTCCCCCAAATCAGAGCTTCGGGGAAAAAGACCTTCGCCCCGAGCCGAGTTAGTTTTGCCATTTCTTTCTTTCTAGTTTGAAAATGTTTGACTACCCATTCCCAGACACACAGCTTATGAGGAAAGGCTCTGTTTCTCACCTCGAAGCTGATGCTGTGTTTATGTGTGCCGGTTCTGCTGGGTCTGTGGCATAGGAAGTAGGGGTGGGGCGCGGGAGCAGAGAGCAAGGGCTGGGTCGCAGGGTGCCCGTGGAGCTGGCTGTCGCCCACCCTGCGTGGGGCCGGTTTCCTCGTCTTGTGTGTGTTTCTGGAAGCCCCGGTGAGGCGTGGGTCTGGGCTTTCCCGTGACACTCACCATCTGCAGTTGGCGCCCATCCCAGTGGGCTTCTCCGACCCCAGGAAGACATCTTCTCCTTTGCCAACAGCTTTCTGTTTCCCAACAGTGGAGGTCCCAGTGGGAATTCCCGGCACAAACACAGATGGTGGGAGCCTGTTACGCGGGCTCTATTTTGACATTAATCAGAGTGCTGTTTCCTAATCCATATGTATGACTCAGTGTGTTACCAGGTCCCCCGTGGGGTCCTGCCTCTGCAGCCTTCCCCGGGGCTCTGCCATCTTCGTGTCTGTTGGGCCGGGTGCCCCCCTCTTGTGCCCCCACCCTCTTCTGCTCATCTGGGTACTTACGCAATGAAAGCTATTCGTGACTTCGGTTATCCGCTTATTTCTGTATTTTATCACTGACCCTTAGTGCAGGCCAGCGTGAAAATTCTGTCATAATCTCTCCCTTCAGAAGGAAGGGCGAGGCTGTGACTCTGGGTGCCCGCCCCGGTCGGGACATCACTCCCATCCCAGGGCAATTGCTTGTGCGCCAGGCTCTGGCCCCTGGGCTCTGAGCGGCCCGGGGGCGCCCCCACCAGCCCCACCATGTGCCACAAGCCCCTCCCCTGTCCTCTCTCTAGCCACACGACGCTAATCCGTGTTCCCATCAGTGTGCTGGGCTTTTCTCCTGTGACCTGTGAGCCTCTCGAGGAGCCGCGCATGTGTGGTAGAGGTGTCCCCGGCTTGCTCACTGTGAAATCCTCAGCGGGCCCAGTGTGCTCTCCAGTAGTACCTGGCCCCTAAGACACTCAAATAAACATTTGCCCCATGAACAGCCAAATAAGTGAACATATATGCTCACAGAGGCAGACGCCATGTCTTCTCCTTCCCACGGCCGCACGGTCTCCCTCCGTTCCCAGGAGCGAGAGGCAGAGTGTTTGGCGGTCTCCAGGAGCACCCACGTTCTCTGTGAGTCACCAGGATTCTCGGGACCCAGTGCACAGAGGTACTGTGGCTAAGATTTATCTCAGTGACGTAATCAGGACACACAGCTGGATCTGTAGTCCCAAAGACTTGGACAGAGTCTGGAGAGATCCATAAGCACATTTCCTGTGCTCTCCACCTCCCATGGGGCCACACGGAGCACACCCTTCCCCAGCAGCAAAAATGCAGCCATCCATGTGCATGAAAATGTCAGGCCCTCAGAAGGAAATAGGTGTGTGCCACACATCACATCTTTTGCAGAAGCTGTCAAGGTCAGTCCACCAGCACTTATCACTTATCACTCTGGGAGAGCTTCGCAGGCAAGGCCCAGATGCCAGTCAAGGGCTGACCTTGCAAGCAAAGTGGGCCCTCCTACCGACAGCCACCTCAGCCCTGCTCACAGAGGCACCCGGGGCTCTGCCCTAGCTCTGGGCCAGGGGCTTGGTGGGGCACTGAGGAGCCCCGTGGGGCCACAAGACCAAAGTCACACCCACGGGTGATCTCACACTCACCTGTCTGTGGCTTTTATGGCTCCGACTTGGAGGAGTTCTTGGGCTGTGGGGACCATCAAGAAGTTGGGCCCATGGTCAGAAAAGGGAGGGGTGGGGAACACCATGTCTCCCAGAGGAGGTGGGCCTGAGGGGCAGAAGGCACTTGGGAAGCCCGGAATCCCGAAAGCGGAACCACGCCTCTGTGCATGTGCGTGTGAGTGTGGGTGCGGAGTGTTGTGCTCACAGATGAGGGCAGAGAGTCCCCCCTTCTGGAGACAAAGGCAGTGAACCGAGTGTGTGAGCAGTAGGGCAGGACCGGCTCAGGAAAGGGCATCAAGCAGCCACAGACAACCAGATGCCATTGTCTTGTTCCTTCCACTGGGGAGTGACTTTTTAGGGTTCTGCACGTTATTCTCAATCTGATTGTTTCTCTGTTGGCATGTGTGAGGTTCATGCCGCAGGCAGTTACCATCTTAGCTCAGAGAAGCAGTGCCGTGGGGTGGGAGGGCTGGTGGGCAGGTGGGCAGGGGCCCTGGCTCTGGTTGGCCTGGAAGTGTGACCTCGGCAGGGGGGCGGGGGTCCCTCTTATCTTGGAGCATCAGCTTTTCTGTCTGCAAAATGGAAGGGCTGGACAGGCCTCTTCATCTCTAACATCCTGGAACTAGATGATAGGAGGAGAACCTACTTAGATATGAATCCGATTGAAGAGACAAAGAACAATGTGTCACTCTAATTGTCTAGAGATTCCCGCTGTGATGTGTGCTGTGGGGGAGTGAGTGTGTGGGACTCCACCCAGTTTCATTTTTCTTCTGCATGGGGCGGGGGGGTCTTCCTACTTAGAAGATAGGTTAGAAACCCCAAACCAAAAGAATCCTCTGCAGCACCTCTTAGACTAGGAACATGTGGAGCCCAGGGGTCCTGCCCTGGATGCCCCCATCCCTGCAGCTGATACAGGGCACCCCATCCTTGTGCGGAGGACCCTGAGCAGCACCTTCATGTCTCACTCCAAACAGTAAAGATATGAAAGGTAATAAGGAAGAATCGGTGCCTAGCAGAGGCCTGCCATTTCGGTAACGGGAGGACATGGAAATTGGGTATTCAAGTGGACAGCTGCCCCAGGCGTGGCGAGGGAGACCTGAGGCCACCTCTGCACTCATCTTTGCAGCTCTTCTAGGAGGAGCCCTTTGCAGCTCCTGCACCAGCTGCTGAAGACATGGCACCGTGGCTGGTGCTGGAGCCTCTGTAACCCGACCACCCCCGTGCAGAGCCCACACTCCGTCAGCGCCCTTGCCCGGGGCATCTCTCCACACCTTCCCCACTGCGAGCCTTGGAGGGCTCCCACTAGAATAAAGTTTTTTTCTTCACTCTTTTTCAGAGAGGACACAGCACATCGATGAAGCCCGTTTTAAGCCTGACTTCCCTTCCTGCTGAGTGCTCTGGCCCACAGCCCAGGAACGTCTTCCAGATACAGCCCGACTCCTGGGTTGGAGGAGGCTCTTCCATCGACTCCACACCCTTGAGGGTGCAAAGTGTGTGTGTGTGTGCGCGTGTGTGCGTGCATGTGCGTGAGTCTCTGTGTATGCAGTCATGCATGCTCAACCAGGAGACAAGATTTTAGCTCTTTTGAGGCACCTGGAGGTTGATGTGCTGGGTGGTGACACCTGCAGCCAGGTGAGAATGTAACAAACAACACAGCATGAAAGGAAAGCAAGCTGCGTTTCTCAGGGGCAGAAAGGAGGGGCGACTGTGTCTGCAAGTGTCAGGTTCATTTTATATTTGCATCAGAAGGTGTGTTCAACTCTGGTGCACACGGCTGTCACCAGACCAGGCTTGATGCCCTAGGTTGAAATCGGAGAAAGCTTACAGGATCAGACAGATATGCTTCTCTCTAGCAGGTGCGGGATTTCTGCTGGGCACTGTTAACCCGCACTCGTCCAGGAAGGACCCATCCTTTCTGTGGTCGTGAAAACCACAGTTACTCACTTGGACAAGATACAGGGTGAGTCCACTCCTCCAGCTGAGGCTGCTGCTGGGGTTTGCAGACCGAGTCTGAAATCTTGTTTCATCCTCCGTGCATAGTTTTGTGTCATTCCAATGACTCCATCCTCTCGGCACTCGTTGTGCTCAGAACTGAATGTCAAACAATAGTCTTGAGCTAATCAAAGCCACCGCAGAGCTATGGATGAACTCCCAGACTGGAGCTGGGTAGAGTGTATGAGGCAGGCGTCCAGGAAGTCCGCATGGGGAGGCACATGCTGCCGCCCCAGTGGTTACTGGCCAGGAGTAGCAGCCGAGCGGGCTGGCCGTTCAGGAGCTAATGATGTGCACTCGAAACCCAAATTCACATCGCCTGTGTTCATTTGGATCATCGTGATTTTGCATGTTGTACATCTGTGTGGAGCACGTCATAGGCTGTCCACCACATGCCAGACAGTCTTATCACAGCTCTGTAATCTGGAAATGGGCAAACTCTGCAGGGCAGAGAAGCATGTAGATCTGGACCAGTGCTTACTAAGTTGTTGCTTAAATGTAAAAGTACATAGTGGAAATGGCTCAGTGAATGTTTTAAATAATATTCCACGTACCAAACTGTGTTTGTACCATTGCCATGTTCCCAAAAGCCCACATGGAGCTGCAATGCCCGCCCTTGTCTGCAGAGATCCCTGTTTCTATTCATGTATCCGAGGCACCTTCTTTTCATCTGATCACAAAATCTAGCATTTTGGGACTGGGCTTTTGCCAAAAAAAAAAAAAAAAAGGAAAGAAAAAAAGGAAAAAGCGATTAGGTGCATTTGTCACTGATTCCTGCTAGTCCAGTGAGCATCTGAAGAATTCAGGTGTTTTAAAATTACATGCTTTTTCTAAATCCTAGAGTATACCTTTCATGCTAAACCAGTGGGCTGCACTGAATTTCCTGAAAGTACCTGGGCTCTGTTACTGCAACTCCTCAAACAGGGGATGCTGTGTGTCAATGCCACTCTCTCTCATGGAACAAGAGGACGGACCAGAAGTTGCCAGAAAGGTTTATTGTGTAACCAAGATGTGGACATGTGTTATCAACACAATCACACTGTGTCCACAATACCCAGAACAACACAGATGTTTTTGTTTGTCTACATTAGAAATCCATGTAAATTGCAGCTCCCTGGTTGACACGGATGTGTGAGTGTGTGCACCTCGTTTCCACGTGTCCACGGTCTGTCCAGCTGCTGAAGGACTGTGGCTCTTCCTTAAAGTGTTCAGCTCTTGCAGAACCCGTAGCCTTCAGGACACCCTGCGTGCCTTACACGGCTTGTCAATACCGCATTGGATGTCAGGAAGGAAGGTGTGCCGGGAGTGGGTTTGGAGGCATGGAGACATCAATCCACATGGACCATCACCCCATCACTGAAACCTTAAGATGGATTGTGTGTTTTAACACAGTAACGGATTTACATTTAGGCTCAGGAAAACCAAGTTGTAAATATATGTATCAAATCATATATTTGTTTACTGTATTTTAAAGAGCTTTATTGTAAATTTATGCAACAATGAATTAGGACTTGTTTTACCATGGCAATAGCCAGCCAGTATCTGTGTTCTCTGAAGCAGCTCCTTACTAACCACATTCTAAACATGTGATATTCTGTTCAGTGCTAAACAGTATTCACAGGCCTAAAATAGGTTTGTATGGTGGTCAACTACAAAATTTTGCACATATTTTTGTATTGTGATTCCTATGATACATACCAGAGGATTTTTACTCATTTGTAAATTATTGTACAGTTTTAATAAAAAATGTTTTAAATCTTAGAGGATCAAAGTTCCCTCTTCCCAAGGCATTAAAGTCTGGACATAGTGGCTATGCTAGCCACTTCTGATGCCGTGTTCCACACCAGAGAGGGAACTGGGTCTCCTGCGCACTGGGGAGGGGAGCCAGATGTGTTACCCGCAGCCTCATCCTGCCTCACGGGAAATCACCTGGAAGACAGGCTCTGAAATCACAGGTGCCTGGCAGCAGCTGGCTGAGGTCAGCCACCAGGCAGGCTCCTCCCATAGCTGTTTATCAAGTGAGAACCAGAAGAGAAAATTTAAGTTTAGGAAGTAAAAGAATTTCTGTCCATGAATAAGAACACTGGGCACCAGATTTCACTTGCACTGGACTTCACACAGGTAAGTAGAGGCTGTTTTCAACCACCTTGGGGGAGTGGAAGCCAGAGGTGGACCAGAGGTGGGAAAGTTGCTGATTTAGCTCTGCAGAAAAGCTCCTGCTGCACCAGCACAAGTGTCCTCAAGGTGACCCTCATTGTCCAAACTTATATTTTGAAATGCCTGCTGCGTTAACAGGACAAAGGCTGGGATGTCTTTTCCTTAAAAGTCAGTCTCTACAGGGTTTGACAGACGGACAGCGTCGTCCTGTGACCCTGGGCGGGCTGAGTCCCTCTGCCCTGTCTCACCCCAAAGCCTTGAACTTGGCTTTAAGGACAGTCAGGAGCAGCTCTCCTGGGTGTATCCTCCTGACCCTCTCCACTTGCCAAACGTTTCAGAGTCAGAGCTTCCTTGCCGGGCGTAGGACCTCCCACGGGGCCCAGAAATGTGGCTGGAGTTGCGATAGACAGTGATTTCTTCAGTCGTGCCCTGGCCCGCCCTGCCGGTTGAGCCGGAGGTGGGAACCCACGCACTTCGCTCGGACGGAACGCGCGCCCTCGGACTAGCCCGGCGCGTTCAGCACTCCCTGCGCGGACAGCGCCAGCCCCTTGCTGGCTGGCTCGTGGTCCGGCAGGGGGTTGGGCAGGGGGGCGGGGAGAGCCAGGCCCGGGCCGCCGGGTCCACGCGCAGCGAGCACACCCGCCACAGGAGGCTGGGGGACCGGCGAGCCCTCGCCCGCTGTCGCCATGGCCGCACGCCAGCCACAGGAGCCCGCGGAACCTCTGCCCGCGGGCCTAGGGACGCTGGGCGCAGGCGGCCCCCGGGCTCGGCCCAAGCTCGGCGGCGTTTTCCGCTGCGTGGAGGACGCCTTTGAGAATAAGACGCTACAGCTGGACGCGTCGAGCGGCGGCCGTCGGAGCCTTGGGGCTAGAGAGCCTTACAGCGGGCCACGTGGCGACCCAGAGGGACCGGGCGAACCAGGCCGACATGGCCTGGAGGCTGCGGCAAGTCTGGGAGAGCCGCCCGGCGTGAACCAGGGCCGCGGCCCCCAGCAGGTAGTAGCCGCAGGGCAGAGGCCGCCGGGGCGTGGGCCAGGGGCTGGTCCTCTTCCCAAATCCCCAGGCTCTGCGAGGGGGCCTGAGGGATCGGGAGGGGCCTCCCTCTCCCTGACTGAACGCCTCTGTGCCTGGGACTAAGCTGTCCTGCGCGGCGCCTCAGCCCCAGCCCGCGCTTTCGGCCTCTTCTGCCTTGGTTTTGGTTCTCTGGTCCGTCAGGGGCGCTGGGTAGCTGTCTCTTTCTCTCGCTATCCCTTTCTATCTCTGTCTGTGTCTCCTCAACTTTTCCCCTTGTCCCCGAGCTCCGCGCGGCCTCCGGAGAGCAGCCTTGTGGAGGTGTGTCCACCGCCGGGTCCCAGAGCCCGTACACCGCCCTGCGTTCCGATCCAGGCCCGGGCCATGGATGCTACGGAGCGAGGCTTTGGCCAGAGGCACCTCCCTGAGGGAGTCCGGCTTCCGCAGCGCCTGGGCCTGGACTTGCGATTAGGTTTAGTCCCCGCGGCCTTGGGTGTTCGGGTCACCAGGGAGCTGGCGGTGGTCCGCGGGGCAGGGGCGAGGGCGGGCCTCGCAGGACTTTGCGGGACCTCTCCACCCTCCTTCCGGGGGTGCAAACTCCGCACACACAGCGGCCAGGACCTGTCGCAGCCCTCTCCCACTCCCCACGCAGCATGCGTCCGCGGGTCCGCGTGGGCCTGGGGCACAGGGACCCCGGCCCGTGGCCACCGCAGGGGCCGTGGGCCGCGCAGCTGGTAGGTCCTCAGCACGGCTGGGGCGGGGCTTGAATGCAAAGGAGCAGCGGCGGGCCGGGGGCGGGGCGGGCCCGGGGGCGGGGCTCGGAACGGGAGCCGTGCGCCCTGGCGTGCTCGCACTCGGACGCTCTGCGCCCCCACGTACGCTCCCGGGCTCTGCGCGCCTCCGCCCGGGACCCCCAGCCCAGCTCCGCTTGAGCTAGGCCGCGCGGGCCGAGTGAGGCAACCGCGCCGGCCGGAGGAGCAGGATGTCCTTCCAGGGCAAGAAGAGCATCCCCCGGATCACGGTGAGCCCCGCACCCAGCCCCCCCTTCACCCCACGCCCCCTGCCCACCGCCCCGGGTGGACTGTCCCGGCTCCGCTCCTAGCGCTCTGCCCTCCGGGTCTAGCCCCGGTGCGTGCTTCTGTCCCGCCGCTGGCGCTTCCCGCCGGGTTCCTTCCCGCGCCGCCGGCGGCCGGGTTTTCCGCGAGCGCCTCCCCGGACCCGTTTCCCGAGCCGCACGCACAGGTCCCAGGCCATGCCGCCTTCCCGGGACCTCCTCTGCGCCCGGGGAGGGCGCGGGGCCGGGAGGGGCCTCCTCCGCAAAGCGCAGAGGTGCCTCCCTCCCCGCGGTGGACGGGCGCCGAGGCGGGCGAACTTGGTCTCGGGGCTCTGCCCGGGGGTTGGCGGGCAGACGCGGCCTTTTGTTGGCACCGCCGGCCAGGCCTGGGGCGCGGATGCTGTTCCCCGCGCGGCGCCTCTGGCTAGCTTCGGACCGCGCGTCCGCCGTGCTGGGAGCTCTTTGTCCGAGACAAAGCGACTCAGCCCGGAGCCCCTGGAGGCCCGGACCCCTCTACTGAACCCGGGCTCGGAGACCCCAGGGGAGGCGAGCGCTCACTGGTCGCGGCTGAGCGGGCACTCTGGCAGCCCCAGACCTCGGAAGGAGAGACACCCTCCCCCCAACAACCACATGCACGGGTGCGGATGGTCAGACGGTCCATCCCGAGCTGCCGGGAAACAAAGCCGCCCCTTCCAGAAGCCAGGCGGAGGGAGGGAGGGAGGCGCCCCGGCGCCACCTGGACGGGGGCAGGGGGCGCCGGCGGGGCTAAGACCCGACTCTGGAGCTGACCTCAGCCGGAGGGTGGCGGAGTTGCCGGGTTCACTTCCTGAGAGATGCTCAGGGAAGAAAGACCCCCTCCATTCCCGTTCAGGAGGGGTTCCTGCCTCCAGATTGGCTCAGGGTCCAGATGATGCGGGAAGCCTGCCAAGCGGCAAGCACAGGTTTGGGTGCGGGTGGGACAGACACAAGGCATCTGGTTTAGGGGAACTTGCAGCCTGGTCGGATGAGCACAGCCCTGCATCTCAGCTGCACTTCCTTCTTGGTTCCAAACCCAGGACAGTTTCCAAAGTCTGAGCTCAGGTGCCCGACAGCGGAGGAGTGTAGAAGTGTAGTGACCACAGGTCTTTTCCTAACTGAGGGATAGTGGGGGACACGCAGATCTTCCTAACTGGGGGACAGTGGGGAACACGCAGACCACAAGTCTCTTCTGCCCAAAGCCTTCCCCTTCCTGGGTGTCCTTGAGTTTATCTGAGAATGAGTCGGTCCACTGGCGGCGGCCTTTGGCCTGTGGCAGTTTGTCAGCTGTTGTGTAGACAGACGGTGGGTGGTGGTTTTACTAGTGACTAGAATCCTGAGAACACGGTCCACATGGATATCAAGAAGAGCGGAGGATAATGCAGTAAGGCTCCCACGTAGTGGGCTGTGTGTTGCTTCAGCCGTCTCGTAGGTTCTTGCTAATCACACTGCACAGCTTGGCTCCCGTGGCATCAGGCTGATGGTGTGCGAAGAGCCCTGGCCTGGCCTCTGGGTGGACACTTGGAAGCCCCAGACAAGGGGCCAGACCTCCTTGTGAGGTCCACATGCCTGGACAGGTCAGAGGGAGTGCTGAGGCTCAAACTGAGTGATAGAAAAAGGGCCGCAGAGCTGGGTTCCCATCCACAGCGTTCTGCACTCTGTGTCTCTGCTCATTTTCCATGTCTCTGCCCGTAATTCTCACCTGAGGTCAGACCATCACCCCTGACAACCGTGTAATGTTCCATGCATGACTCCACTTTCTGCCCCTCTCCGCTCCTTCTCCACCATTTGGTGAGGTTCCTAGAAGTGGTTTATGGCTGCCGAGCCCTAGATCAACCCCCACCTGGTGCCACAGCTCCACGCTGTGGTGGTGACCCACCAACAGCTGACCTCGCTTGCTGGCACTTTGGTCACCCATCTGGGATACCTCCAGGCAGCACCACGACCTGTGATCACCCCAATGTCTTCCTGGCCCTTCACCCCCATGGCCTCTCCATCAGCAGCTCCTGCCTGCCCGACTCCCAGCCTCTTGGACCCCATCTCTGCTCGGCCCCAGGGTTCTGGCCTGAGGCCCCCCATCTCACCTGCTCAGGCTCAGACGGCAGTAGGCTATGGCCCCGGTTCCATTCTCAAGCAGCACATTCTACTTTTTACACAGAGCCAATGTGATCCACCAGACCGTGCTCAAACCCCTGCTTCAGGCCCCCCCAGTGGAGCCCACTGACACCCCAAGCCCAGCATGTCCCACCTGCATCAGGCTCTCGGTCCCCTCACCCCTCCCCTCAGAAGGTTCTGGCCCATTTCCTCTTGTGTCCGGTATCAACTCAAGCTTGTTCCTGCCTCAGGGCCTTTGCAGGGGCTGTCCCCTGGCCGGGAACACCGTCCTTGGCCACTTCATGTCCAGCTGGACACTCCAGTAGGCCCTTCTCTGTCCCTGAAGCAGCCCAGCCTCCTCTCCCATCACGCTGTGACATCAGCCTCTTTGTGTTCTTGGTCTGTCACAGTCTGCGATGGCTTTGTGTAATCTGTCATCCTTGTCTGTCTCCCTGTGCTGGGAGGCATTCCCCCCCGGGGTAGGGACCCTGCCTGCTGGGGCACTGCTCTAACCCCCACATTTGGCACCACGATAGGCCACACCATTCTGGTATGAACCGGAGCCCAGCTGCCATCCAGGAGCTGCCTCTGTGTGGGCTGACGAGGGGGGCCGACCCTCCAGGCCAGGGTGGGATCCTGTGACTTTGTCCCCCTCTGACCTCAGCCTGAGCTCTATGAATTAGGCGATAACTATTTAAATGTAATGCATTTCATTGCTACGCCTTCACCCACATTGGCCCCCGTGGGGCGCTGTGCCTTTGGCGAGGCCACACTGCGGGCCCTGCCTGCCCTGTGGGTGTGGGACCTGCTTGGGGCCTGTGGGAGCCCCCGCCGAGCCGCCCTGCCGCCGGTCACCTCCGCTCCATCCTTGGGGGGTGGAGGACAGCGCAGGCTTCTGTGTCCACCTCTGTGCATACGCATCGTGCCCGAGGGGTTCGAGCATAATCCCAGGGTAAGAAGTTATAGGGACGATGCTGAGGAACTAGGTTTGGAGAAAACTTACCCATCTTCCATTTGTTTCCAATAGAGCGACCGCCTTTTGATCAAAGGTGGGAAGATCGTCAATGATGACCAGTCCTTCTATGCTGATCTGTATGTGGAAGATGGTTTGATAAAGTGAGTTTCTGCCTCAGATATCTTCACAGAGCACATGTGTACACATTGATCACAGATTATCCACAAGTTTACTTTTGGGTGAATTCCACCTAAATTTCTTTTTTTTTTTTTTCCTTTTCTAAAACCCAGCTCAAGCCCAGGCCTTGAGTCACGAGAGATCTCACCAGTTAGTGGCAAGGTCTCAGGAAGCAGGACATTCATTTGTGTTATCATAGCTTTAGGACGATTTGGGGCTCACAGCAGGTGCTCAATAAATACTTACCGCACCTGTTAGCTTCTCTGCTCGTTGTCTGCACACGCTCCAGCCACCGGTCAGTAGAACAGCACATGGAAGGCCAATGGACATCACAAGGGCAGTCACGCAGGCCCAGGTCCGATCCTCCGTGTGACCGTCTCAAACCCCTGGTGGGGTGTCGTGCTCTCTCATGGTTTCCAGGGGCCTGGTCAGCGAAGTCTTGACTGTGCTGCCCTTTTCCTCCAGGGGCCCAAGCAGATGCTTCCCTGCCTCACCGTTTGTGTTCTGATCCAGGCTCTTGATAACCAGTGAAATCTGTGTTGCTTTCAGACAAATCGGAGAAAACCTCATTGTCCCTGGGGGCATCAAAACCATCGATGCGCATGGCCTGCTGGTCCTGCCAGGCGGCGTTGACGTCCACACGAGGCTGCAGATGCCTGTCCTGGGCATGACCCCTGCAGACGACTTCTGCCAGGGGACCAAGGCCGCCCTAGCGGGAGGGACCACCATGATCCGTGAGTGTCTCCTGGTGTGCGGGGCACCCATCCCACGCCTTGTTCTACTAGCCAAGCTTGTGTGTTGTGGGAAGAGCCTTAAAATGGGGCATTTTTAGGGGTCTGTTTCCCTTTATTACCTTTCAATCTAGGAAATCCTTGCATACTCTTTTGTTTTCCCCGTTTGCATTGTGAGTCATCTTGCCTTGGCCAGCTCTGGAATGCTCCTGGGGTTTCCACAGGAGCAAATGGATGTGTGCCCAGGAATTTATTATTTCCTGGGAAGCTGGCAGCTGGCCAGGGACTAGGTTTTCAAAACCAAAATGTCTTGCGCACACGGAGGGGGTCGTGTTGTCTAAAACAGACACATTTGCTCCTGAGCCCCGCACCTCTGAAGCTTGGTTTGCACGAAGTCCCTGGCTGTGTCAAGAAGGAGGCTGTGTTTTTAGGAAAAGAATGGCAGAGATGCTCGCCCTCTGTTTAGTGCTGGCCCTGTGCTGGGCTGCAGCTCATATGCCGTGGGAGCTCGGCAGGCAAGCCCCACCTAGCAGCTTGCAAGGTGCATGGGCTTGCCTGTGGTGGACTTGACGGTGGTAAGCGCAGAGCCAGGACGGGACCCAGCCCCTGCTCTGGCGGCCTTGGACGCCGTCAGCTCCGCGGTGTGAGTGCAGGCGTCTCTGCTGTGGTTAACCCCTGGCCTCTCACGCCTAGTTGAACGCTGGCTGCACCGTGTTCGGGCTGTTTGGCTGCAGGTAACTCAGCTAACTTTTAGAAGTCACACTCTGCTAACCTGAGCAGGAGGAGGAGGAAGACCCTCCCTAGAAGGCTAGGAGGGTGGGCTGCGCTCACGAGGTGCTCTGCTGTGCGTGGTGCACGGTGCCTTCTGTCACTGCTGCCTCCAGACCCTGGGCTACTTCGCAAGTGGTATTTAGCCATTACTCAACCACCAGGCAAAAAAAAAGCCAACAATGATCCGTTTTTTAGTTTGACTAAGGAGACTGGCCATTTTTGGCCACAGCTCATGTTCGTCACTGGTGGCCAAGGCTGGCCAGGACACCTTTGTGGTTGTCACCTGCTCGTGCCCATGCCGAGGCATCAGACAAGCCGTGGGGTGTCCCCGTGAGGATGGACAGATGCTGCAGGCGCAAGGCTGGCCTCTGCCGAGCCGTGTGTCTTCCTCAGCCTGCCAGGCCCAGGCTGGAGCTGCGGAGGGACCGCAGGGTGGGGTGGCACACACTCCCACGGGGCCCTGGGCATGAGATCTGAGCGGTGGGAAGCAGGGGGGCCTCCATGAGGGGTGCGCTGGAGGAAGGCACAGCGTGGGCCAGTAACCCTTGGGTGGGTGTGCCTTCTTGTTGGCCACCCCTCCTCTGAGCTCTTTCCCTGTGCCCAGGAGAGGCCGTGAGCAGTGTTTGGACCTTGGACCTGAGGCTGGGTGGGGGGAGTGACAGCGCAGCAGCCATGCACCCCTGGTCTCCCCAGGGGTGGGGGGGCGCTGTTGGAGGTGCGTGTAGTCCGTGAGGCACAAGCAAGGGAGACCAGCCCTGGAAACCAGCCCCATGCCGCTGCTCCGGGCAGGCTGCCCAGCTTCAGCACCATGGACGGCGCCCGCACCTGCCCCGCCCCACCCTGCCCTCCTCGGGCCCTCCAGGTGCGCCTCCCTCCGGTAGACACCTGTGTGGGAGGTTAAGACACCTTAACTGCCACCAGTGCTCCTTGGGGTGAATGTGTCCATCAGGGACTAGGGGGGCTCGAATCCGGCCCCTCTTCCTCTGCTCAGAGAAAGGCTGGGGGATGTGGGGCCGATGGGCATGTTCATGGTGGCAGCAGCCCCGCGTAAGGGGCCCGCGGCCTCTCCACTGCTCCCCAGGTGCACTTTCTGATCTCTCGGGAACATGAAACCCGTCTCCCCTGGAGGCCAGGGTGGTTCCCAGTAACCGGAGTGGGGGCTCGGCTGACCGCAGTGCCCCCCACAGTGGACCATGTGTTCCCCGACGTGGGCGTGAGCCTCCTGGTGGCCTATGAGCAGTGGCGGGAGCGCGCGGACAGTGGGGCCTGCTGTGACTACTCCCTGCACGTGGACATCCCCCGTTGGCACGAGAGCATCCGGGAGGAGCTGGAGGCCCTGGTCAAGGACAAAGGTAAGGGCATCTCCCGAGGCTGGCCTGGGGGCCTGGGCTTCCCTAGCCCTGGCTGGGAAGGGGCGCTTCCCTGGGGCCCCTGGCCAGGCTGGACTCTGCATCCGTCTGACCCCGGGGTGGGGGAGGTGTTTGGGAGTTGGGGAGAAGTTGGACATACTGAAGGTCTGTTCTACTTCCAGAGGATCCAGACGAGGAGGTCATCCACCTCTCCATCTGAGGGATGTGTCCTGTAGTTGCCCTTAGCTGTCCCAGTCCCCTTGTCTCCTGCCCCGGGTGAAGGACGAGGGCTGCACATCTTCCTAGACCTTGAAGGTCTTTTTAGGAGCAGAATGCTTTCAAACCCACAGTTCTCTATGCTGCCTGTGTTGCAACAACCAGTCGGGAAACAAGGCTTAAGCTCTTTTAATCAAAAGTCCTAAAGCTGAAACCGCATTAGAGTTTCATAGCGGAGCTGACGTGTTAGTTCGGACCAGGCGCCCGTGGGAGGAGATTCGGGAGCAGTGGAGGCTCCTGGGCATCCGACCGACAACAGCCGAGCGTCTGACCCCTCTTGCCTCTCCTCCAGGTGTGAACTCCTTCCTGGTCTTCACAGCGTACAAGGATAGGTGCCAATGCACAGACGGCCAGGTGAGGGCAGGTGTTGAGAGGAGGGCACAGCAGGTGTTTCAGGCTGCCAGCAGGATGGACGCAGCCCCACACACCTCGTGTGCCCTCTTCCCAGATGTATGAGATCTTCAGCATCATCCGGGACCTGGGTGCCCTGGCGCAAGTGCACGCAGAGAACGGGGACATCGTGGAGGAGGTCAGGGTCTGGGTCCGGGTCCAGGTCAGGGTCTGGGTACAGGTCCGGGTCTGGGCCCGGGTCCAGGTCAGGTTCCGGGCGGGCTGCCTGCAGGGTGGGCGGGGGTTGGTGAGGGGCAGGGGTGGCTCCTAGACACGCAGAAGTGAGCTCTTCATCCCACAAAGCCCGGGGTGGGGAATAGTGAATATATTCTGGTGAGTAGGTTGCCCAGAATCAGAGGGCAAGCCAGCAGGGAATTGGAGGAGCCTGGGGGGCTTTTGGCCGTAGCAGATTTTTCATGATCATCACGCTTATCAGAAGTTCCCCAGAACCAAAATGTTGCTTTTGGGGGGCTGATATGGGGTTTCCCAGTGCCTTCTGCCCCTGTGGATGGAGGCCCCCCCAAGCTGGACCTGTGTTCCTTCCGACCACTGAGCACATGTGCTGGTCCCGTGCCTGCCTCTTGGGCCCTGGGCTGTGGGGTAGGCGCCCCCAGGTGCAGGTGCTGTGGGGTACCTGGGAGGTTTGGGGGCTCCTCACAGGGCCACACATAGCAGCACACCTCCCTGGCATTCCAGACCCACAGAGAAGCTTCCTGGCGGGTCAGGCTCAGCCCCATCCCAAGCTCGAAGGTGGTGACACCTGGGGAGGGCCACGTGGGGTTCCCAGGTAACTTGTCCACCCGCCCCGCCATGAGGGCATCGAGTGCTTCACGTGCCTCTCTGGTCCAAGGCCAGGCCCGGCGGCATGGTTAGGAGAATGTGGTGGGTACAGCTCAGTACACAGGTGGGTGGGCAGAGCGTGCCTGGGAGACACCCCACCAATGCTGGGGAGTCTGGTTATTGGGTCCATGGCATTCTGCTTCTCCCGCATTCTTCATGGTGAAGCTTGGCATCCACATCTTCGTTTATGCAAGAGGCCACTGAGGTACAGATCTTCAAGGGCAAGCTTGGGGAAGATGCAGTCTGTCCACCCCAACTGCAGAGCCCCCAACACCCCTGGGCATGTCCTCACTGGTGGAACCCAGTATGGCAGGCAGGGTGCCCTCACCAAGCCCTGCACCTCATCTGTAATTTAGGGATCTGGGGTCACCCACCCTCCTCCTCCATTCTGAGTTCTCTGCAGTTGGTGATTCTGGGGGACCTGGTGGCCTAGAGCTCAGTTTAGGGGTGCAGGGCTCACGTGAGAGTCAGGGGGCAGGGCTAATCTCCGGGTCAGGGCTAACATGAGAGATTGGGGATCAGGGCTCACATGAGATGTGGAGGGCAGGGCTCATCTCAGGAGCAGAGCTCACGTGAGAGATGGGGGGTAGGGCTCATCTTGGGGGCGAGGCTCATGTGAGATGTGGGGGGCAGGGCTTATCTCAGGGGCAGGGCCTCTTGGGCATCACACCCAGACTGGGGCTCTGCAGGGCTCTGGCTGCACCTGGGCTGGAGTGTGTTGTCCTGTTGGTTTATTTAGGAGCAGAAGCGGTTGCTGGAGCTCGGCATTACCGGCCCTGAGGGCCACGTGCTCAGCCGCCCCGAGGAGGTAGGAGCTTGCCTGCTGAGAGCCACCCCAACCCTGACTGCACCCCAGACTGCCTCTGCACAGGGGCAGACCCTGACCCCATGGCGGGGCAGGGCTGTGATGCGCTTGTCCCCCTCTGGGAGGGGTGAATCAGCGGGCCCTCCCCCCACTGGGCTCATGTGCCCCCACGACCACTGGTGGCCCAAGGCCTCTACCGAAGACCAAGAAGGCGGTGAGGACGGGCTCTGGGTACTGCTTGGGTCAACCCAGATCCTGGGCACTGAGCCACAGGCGGGGTCCTCAGTCATGCACGGTGCCCCCTCTGGGCCCAGGATCCAGGGGTGGTGGTCAGGAGGAGGCCCAGGGCCCTGGCCCGCCTGAGCGACCCCCGTCCCCAGGTGGAGGCCGAGGCTGTGTACCGCGCTGTCACTGTTGCCAAGCAGGCCAACTGCCCCCTGTACGTCACCAAAGTGATGAGCAAGGGTGCGGCCGACGTGGTCGCCCAAGCCAAGCGCAGGGGTGAGTGCCAGGCCCTGGCCCCGCACACTTGTGGGGGGAGCTCCTGGGGGTCAGGGGTCACGTCTCAGGACCGGGCGCTCGGCTGGCTACCCTGGGGCTCGGAGCAGACAGGCCCGAGAAGCAGGGGCTGCCCTGCCTGGCCTGGTGGGGGGTCTCGGGTCTGTGGCCCGTGAGGGAGGCAGTCCCTCTACAGGCGGGGCCCAGTCTCCTGTCTCGTCCGGGTCGCAGCTGCTCACCTGTGGGCCCTGTTTGCCCGGAAGTGACAGAACGTATGCTGTGTCTGTGTGAGTGTGGCGTGTGCGTGGGGGACGCGGAGCCCGATTCCATGTGTGATGGAACTTGGACCCCTGGGAGCCCCACATCACTGTTCGCTGGGTCAGGGTCTGCCCATAGAGCACCCCGCAGCTGGAGGAGGCAGGGGGTACAGAGAAGAACTGGGGTCCACGGGGACAGGCCTCGGACAGGCAGGGGCGGGCAGAGCGGACCGTGTCTCCCCGCAGCCGTCGCCCGGCTGCTTCCCCGGCAGGCGGTGTGGGGGAGCGGGTCCGGAGAGGCCCCCCGCGTGGGAAGCCGTCCAGCGTCGGGAAATTGAGGGATAGTTGGGGGTTATCACCAGCACAGCGCTAGGCTCCCCACCCTGCCCGGGTCCTGGGGGGCATGCAGGCCGGCTGGGGCCCCTCTCACGGGTCTCACTGCAGGGGTGGTCGTGTTCGGGGAACCCATCACTGCCAGTCTGGGGACCGACGGCTCACACTATTGGAGCAAGAACTGGGCAAAGGCCGCGGCCTTCGTCACATCGCCCCCCGTCAACCCGGACCCCAGCACTGCAGACCACCTCACCTCCCTGTTGTCCAGGTAGGGACCTGCTCCAGGGTGGCCCCGCTGTGGCCCGCGAGCTCCACACCCCCCCGCCCCCTGTGGCCTCGATCCGCCGGCAGCTCCGACTTCTGCACAAACACTGGCCCAGGATGTCCCGGGCCGAGGCCCCACACTCATCTGCCCCGGCCCTCCTGTGCCCTACCCAGGGGTGACAGCTCTGCCCAGCTCTCCCAGACACCCTCCAGCACCTGTGGGCTGTGCTGGCCGGGGAGGGGGACAGAGCCGATGGCGGCCTTTGCTGGCTCAGGAAAATCAGGCCACCGTGGGCTCCCCCGACCCCGACTTTTCTCAGTGGGGACCTCCAGGTGACCGGCAGTGCCCACTGCACCTTCACCACTGCCCAGAAGGCCGTCGGCAAAGACAACTTCACACTCATCCCCGAGGGCACGAACGGCATCGAGGAGCGCATGTCTGTGGTCTGGGAGAAATGTGTGGTGAGTAGAGTGGGGGCCGCAGGCCATGCTCCACGCAGGGTGTCGGAAAGGGAGGCCACTGACCACTAAGCACTCCCTGTGCAGGGAGTGTGGGCTCCCCGGGGTGTTGCCGCCCCCAGCCCTGCCATCCAGGACTCCCGGGACAAGCGGTTCTGGTCCCCCTGGAGGAGACCCCCGGCACTGTGAGGCGGCCAGGCCCTCCCCCAGATTCATGTCACCCGCAGAAAGCATCTGGGAGAGTGGGGTTCCTGTCTCCTGTGGAATTACACTCTGCGCTGCTAGTCTCCCCAGAATGCCTGAGATTTCCTCAGACTGCCTGTACCCCCAAACTCCAGCCCTGACCCCAGGCCTCTCTCACCGCCCTGCTTCCCTAGGCCACCTGGTGGGGTGGGGCTGTCCTGTCCTTCAGGGGACACAGACATCGTCAGAACCTCACATTGACTGACACGCAGCGAGCACCGTGTTCGTGCGCAGCCTGAGAGGGACCTGGGAGTTCGCAGGCGGCGGCACCCTGGGCACATGATCCTGACGCCGCTCGCCGCCTGGGGGACGGGGGCCCCCGTCCACACACAAGCCTGGAGCCTAGGACCCCCACCCCCCGCCCCAACTTGGCTGTCTTGCTTCCCAGGCCTCAGGGAAGATGGATGAGAACGAGTATGTGGCTGTGACCAGTACAAACGCAGCCAAAATCTTCAACGTGTATCCAAGGAAGGGGCGAGTGGCTGTGGGCTCCGATGCTGACCTGGTTATTTGGAACCCCAGGGCCACAAAAATCGTTTCCGCCAAGAGCCACAACCTGGTAAGAGAAGCCTGGTCCCTAGGTCAGGGTCCGGGTCAGTGTCAGGGTCCAGGTGCAGGTCCGGGTCAGGGTCAGGGACCAGGTCAGCGTCAGGGCCCAGGTCGGGGTCCGGGTCAGCATCAGGGTCCGGGTCCGGGTCCAGGTCAGGATCCAGGTCAGCGTCAGGGACCAGGTCAGCGTCAGGGCCCGAGTCAGCGTCAGGGTCTGGGTCTGGGTCCAGGTCAGGATCCAGGTCAGTGTCAGGGACCAGGTCCGGGTCCGGGTCCAGGTCCAGGTCCGGGTCCGGGTCAGGGGCCAGGTCAGGGTCTGGGCCCGGGTCCAGGTCAATGTCAGGGACCAGGTCCGGGTCCGGGTCCAGGTCCAGGTCAGGGTCTGGGTGCAGGTCCGGGTCCGGGCCCGGGTCCGGGTCCGGGTCCAGGTCAGGGTCTGGGTACAGGTCCGGGTCCGGGCCGGGGTCCAGGTCAGGTTCCGGGTCAGGGCCGGTCGGGCAGCCCTCAGGATGAGCACCCGCCCCTGCCCCACCTCCCCAGTTCCTTCTGAACTCCGGCCCTGCCGAGGTGACGGTTCTTGTCGGAGGTCCTAAAGCGGGCGCACCAGCCTCCGAGGATGCTGGTCGGCCCACAGTGCGCTGAGAGGAACCGGGGCCGTAGCGCTGGGAGCCAGACGCTCCCCCCTGTCTCCCCAGAACGTGGAGTACAACATTTTTGAAGGCCTCGAGTGCCGAGGAGCCCCCACGGTGGTCATAAGTCAGGGCAGGGTTGTGCTGGAGGACGGGAACCTGTTCGTCACCCCCGGGGCTGGCCGCTTCATCCCCCGGAAGACGTTCCCCGACTTCGTCTATAAGCGGATAAAGGCGCGCAACCGGGTAAGGCCCCAGCCCGGCGGGGGAGGCGCGGAGCGCTGCGGGTCCGCGAGGCTGCTCCTCCAGGTCGGCCCTGCCCAGCGGGGTCGGGGGCAGCGGGGG